TATTTCAGTCTGCTCAAGTTTTCAAATATCCATAAATTAGCCATTCGATACAATTGACTAGGAAGGTTGTCAAGTCAAGTGTTTTACCTCTCGATCACAAAACTATTGCGATGCTAATCGATTACAGAACTTGAACTTTTCTATTTTCTGTGAATGCTCGAACTTTTGACTGACATTACTTTTAAAAGTTTCATTGAGTGATTATTCAATGGAGTTAAGAATTTAGCCCTTACGCCGTAACTTGAAGTGTGCAGACAAAGCAGAAGCCCCTCGGCTACACCAAAAATCATTCTAAAGAGGCTAGAAATCCTTAAATGGAGCTAGTATATTGTAATCGGAAGTTTATTCAGAAGCTTTTTGTTTGTCGTTAAGTTTAAATGTAGGTATCTATGTTTTGTTGCTTATCTCTGAGATAAATTATCAGAATCCTCTATGGTAGGTCTCAAAAGATGTATCATGAGTCTACACTAAAAAGATGGTCCGGTCAGAAACTTCTTTAAAGCTTACAGAAGTCTTATAAGACTACGGTTTCATCCATGAGCCAAACCACCTTACTGTAACGATTCTGCATTAAACAGTTGAAAGTTGTCTCCATGGTCACAAAACAACAGGGATAATATCTATTATTTCGAGCTTTAAGAAACCTATATTTAGAAACTGTGGCAGTTTACAATCTTATCTTAACAAAGTACTTGTAATCCTGAAGTAAAATTAGAAGGAAGGGACTTCCTAACACAACCAGCCTTTCTCATTCCAAAGCCTTAAAGCTATCAAGGATGCCAGCAACACATCCAACCAAACACAAATAATGTAATTTTTTGAATCCTTAAATTCGTTCCTATGATTCTGACATGATTTCCATTTCTTAGTGAATTTAGTCTTAGCAATATGAGTAAAGCTAGCAAATGAGTTCAGTCACTCACCTTCCGAACAGCTTCATCATTGGGTGTTTTAATTCCAAGGTAGGGGAGATTGTCCAAATTTTTCTCACTACTGACTGTATTTACAAAATTTGACTCCGTACTAGTTGGAGAACCGGCAGAGCCAGGAGCAGTGGCAGTTGCGAATCCTTCGGACTGCCCCCCCTTGGACAAGCATTTCGAAGTTCGCGAATCTGCACCCTCTACAGATGATTCCAAAGAAAATCCTGTCACGTCGGTTCGAGAATTACCAAGAGCCTCGCTTCCCGTAGCTAGAGCGTTGGAACTGCTTTCAGCCTCATCCTCATTGTCTTCTTGTTCGGAACAACCTTCTGGAATGCAATAATTTCTTAAGCGGTTGTAAAATTTAATCGTAGTAGAAGGAAGAAGAGTTAGCTGACTCCTTGAAAACTCACTCCAGAAATGTCCATGCGAAGTCAACTTTTTGTAGGTACTGGTTTTGTATAACATCCGGTTATGAAGTAAAATTGAATTATAAGGAAACACTCATTACATTTTTGAGTGCATGTAAGTGGCAACTTATACTTGTGCCACTACGAAAAGAAACTTTGGTTATGAAGCTGCTCATACTGTCGCTTCCCTGATACTAATTGCCCTGCAGAAAACAGTATAGTTAGGGGTCTCAACGAATTCACCTATAAGCTACTCTTTTTCCGCAATTCAAATTTTATTATCAAAAATTTTTTTCGAGTCGAGACTAACTTGAAATTGGCGAAATATGGAAGAGCTTTGAATTTCTTGGCTAAATATGGCTAACAGTAGATAAATCCAAACTACAACTCTAGGTTCCTCAAGCTCAAAATTTTCACTTGCAACCCATTTCGCATTAAAAGTTCCCACTTAACCATTAGAGCTCAGAAATCTCTCCAGACAGCGACTTGTATTTCGTGAAAAAGCTCTTCACATTTCCTGAAAGTCACAGATGATAGCTGTTTCCCAAATGATTAAGTGTTAAATGTTCTAGGTTAACCTGCTGCTTTGGAGATATTTCGCACCACACCATACCTCAGTGAAAGTAAACTTTATCTCGAATAAATTAAGATATGACGTTATTCAACCAACTAGCATCAATAGTCGCAAACCGTGAAATATACCTCATCGTCCACTGCTGTCTAAAATCACCCTGAAACGTTTCTGTTTTAAATGGCTGCTTTCACGTAAAAAGTATGCAAATTTATATTGAATGCAGAATGGTTCAGCTTCAATATTCAAAATTTCGGTGTCCTGCAAGTAACGCACTTCAAAGGTAGGCTTGATTTTATGTTTACAACCTCAAATATTCAAGATAAATTATTTTTATAGTGTAGTAATATCGCAACCTTAAAAGACAAAAATAACTCGCAAAGTGCATTCGAGCTTGCCATATTCACA